TTTTTAATTTTTTATATATTATTTTAATATAAAATTTTAATAAATGTTAATATATTTTGATATAAAATTATTATTTTTATTTTATAAAAATATAAAAATTAATACAAATATATAGTTTGAATTTATTCAGTTTGATTTTTTTTTCAAATTTTCATTTTTTATCTTAAATTCAATATATCTAAATTTAATTTATATATTTAATATCTAAATTTAATTTATATCAAATAAAAAATTTTATTTTACATTAAGCTAATAAAGTTGCTATATAATTTTTAAATAAAAATCAAAATAAAAAAAAATAGGTGTGAAGTACTGATATTAGTAGCTTAAAGAAGAGAAGAGGAAAAAATAATAATAATAATAAATAAATAAATAAAGTAATTGTTGCGCAAAAATAAGCCGTAAATCATCCTGCACCACTAAATTAATTGTTTAGATTTTAAAATAACGGTTGACATATCTTTTCATAATAATTGCACTGATAATAGTTTCAATTGAATTGAATTTAATATTTTAATATTATATGGTATTATAAATTTTTAAATTTTGATATAAATTTGAATCGAATTTTATATGATTTAATTTAAATTAAATTTTATTAATTTAATTTGATTTTGTTTATTAAATTTAATTTTTTATATATTATTTTAATATAAAAATTTAATATATTCTAATAAAAAATTATTATTTTTATTTTATAAAAATTTAAATATATAAAAGTTAATAAAAATATATATTTTAATTTGATTCGATTTGATTTTTTTTTAATTTTTTAATTTTTATCTTAAATTTTATATATTTAATATTAATTTTTATATTTAATATTTAAATTTAATTTACATCAAATAAAAAATTTATTTTACGTTAAGCTAATAAAATTGCTATATAAAATTTTTAAAGAAAAATAAAATAAAATAATAAAAAATAGGTGTGAAGTACTAAAATTAGTAGCTCAAATAAGAGGAAAAAATTATTAATATTAATAATTAATAAATAAATAAATAAAGTAATTGTTGCGATGAAATCAATCCGTAAATCGTCCTGCACCATTGCATTAATTATTTAGATTTTAAAGTAGCAGTTGACATATTTTTTATAATAATTGTACTTCTATTCAATGATGATAATGATTTCAATTGAATCTGATTTAGTGTTTTTATATTATATAATATTATAAAAATTTAAAATTTGATATAAATTTGAATTAAATTTTTATGTGGTTTGATTCAAATTAAATTTTATTAATTTAATTTGATTTAGTTTATTAATTTTGAAATTTATTTTTTTTATTTTTATATATTATTTTAATATAAATTTTAATATATTTTAATATAAAATTGTTGTTTTTATTTTATAAAAATATAAAAATATAAAAATTAATAAAAATATATAATTTGATTTGATTCAATTTGATTTTTTTTAATTTTTAATTTTTATCTTAAATTTAATATACCTGAATTTAATTTATATATTTAATATATAAATTTAATCTACATCAAATAAAAAAATTATTTTATGTTAGGCTAATAAAATTGCTATATAATTTTTAAATAAAAATCAAAATAAAAAAATAAGTATGAAGTATTAAAATTAGTAGTTCAAGTAAGAGAAGAGGAATAATAATAATAATAATAATAATAATAATAATAATAATAATAAATAGATAAAGCAATTGTTGCAGTGAAAATAAGCCACAAATCGTCCTGTACCACTCCATTAATTGTTTAGATTTTAAAATAGTGGTTAACAAATCTTTTTATAATAATTACACTTTTATTCGAAAATGATAATAATTCCAATTGAATTTGATTTAATATTTTTATATTATATAATATTATAAAATTTTAAAATTTGATATAAATTTAAAATGAATTTTTATGTGATTTAATTCTAATTGAATTTTATTAATTTAATTTGATTTGTTTTATCAAATTTTAAAATTTAATTTTTTTAATTTTTTATATAAAATTTTAATATATTTTTTGTATAAAATTATTATTTTTGTTTTATAAAAATTTAAATATATAAAAATTAATAAAATATGTAGTTTGATTTGATTTAGTTTGATTTTTTTAATTTTTTTATTTTATCCTAAATCAAATATATCCGAATTTAAATTATATATCTAATATTTAAATTTAATTTAAATCAAATAAAAAATTAAAATAGAAGGAAATATTATAATTTTAAATTATTTTTTAATTTTTTAATTTTTTTTTTCTTATATCACCTCCGTGTCAAATGCACGTTTCAATCCAAACGCATCTTAAGAGCGATAGGGCGGTAGCTGATACATTAGGACCACCATGGTAAGATTAATACTGTGCAATAAAGAACAGATTAGAAGATGACAAAGCAATTTCCTTAAGACCATAATTTTTTTGTGGGTCCCGAGTAATAATGTCGCAGGCCTGTAATTTTTCTCTTGCAGAAGGAGTGACACATGATTCTTTCTCTTTTACTTGGCAGTTAGTTTCATTTTCTAAACTTAATATATTTATAGGATTTTAGTGGTTTCGGAAAAGGAGGTTTAGAGCACAAATTTAAGGCCATTTAAAAGTTACGTTAAAGGGCACATGACAAGCACAAATTTTCAAATGCTAAAAGAAATGATAAATTCTTTAATTGAGTTGGTGTAATTTCACTCTTAATACATTTTATATATATTAAAAATATATAAAATAGATATTTAAAATAATGAATGAATTAATATGATAAATAAAAGAACTCATCATGTGATTTGTAAAGTGTTGGATTTAATGTTATTTGATGAAATGAATAAATTAAACATTTATGATTAAGTATTGAATTTTTAATTTTAAAATTTTTAAGTGTTAAATTTATGAGACTGAAAATTAAATATTTTGTAATTTTCTAATATTTTATAAAATAATATGATTTTGTAATTATTTTTACTTAGTAAAAGTTAGATGGAAAAGGATAAATAGTTTTTTAAAAAAAGATTAATGTAATTAAATAATTTTTTTCTTAACTAAAATTGACTTAATAAATTAAGTAGCTAAAAATTACTTAGCATTTTCAATATTTTTCATTGAAAATCTTCAATTAAGTGGATTTTAAAAATGATTTATCAAATCATTGACAAATAAAACCATTAAAAATTTTAATTTTCAATGATTTTAAATTTTAGATGGTTTTATCAAACACCCGTAATGATCAAGATTTAATACTTGATAGCCTCAACAATAAATAAAAAAAAAAAGTTTTGTTAATGAAATTTAAAAACTCTGATGAATAAAATAATAATAAAAAATAAATAAAAGCAAGATAAAAACAAATAGAAGAAATATTCATGTGAGACAAATTTGATGTGGTTCCTAACTATTGGTTCGTGCTTGGCCCTTCTAAACAAACGTGAGAAGGCAAAAAACAAAAACAAACAATTATTAAACTTGGCAATCATCCTACTCTTTCCAGAAATTGTTACATGGGACCTTCAAGAACTTTTTCTCTAAAAAGCTATCTATTTTAGAGTTTTCTCAAAATTAGTTCTAGTTTTTGTTAGACAAAAGCTCCCATAAAACTGCCTTTTCTTTTCTTTTCTCCCAACTGTTTCTTCTTTTGCAAGTAAAAACACCTTTCAAAGTGGCAAAAGTTGCCAACGGCCTGTGTACTGTTGGCCGTGTATTGTTGATAGAGAACTGAATTTTTAGTTTCAGATATTAAAATTTAAATTTCGGACAATCTTAAATAAAAAAAAAATGGTAAAAGTTCATCTCAGTGTGGACTTGGATCACTCCTGAATCCTAAAACTTGAAAAACTGCCGGTTAACAAACTTGGGACCAAAATATATATATTTTGTTGATGCAAGAAATCCTAGCCGATAACCAAACAAAGAACATAACATTTTGGAAAATTCTTCAACAATTTTGTTATGTTTTTGGCTTCTCTTTGCAGTTGGACTCTCTAAGACTTTTTGCAGACAAGACAAAACCTCGTTGTTTTGTAACCATGATTGGTTACAACTTACAACTTACAATTTTGCTGAATAAGTTAAACTTTTCTTGCTTTTACTCTTCTGATTCATTTTTTTTGTGTTTTTCTTGTTTGCTTGAAAAATAAATAATATAATAAAGTAGAAATTTGACATGTCTCTGGATTACTTATTTCATGGAAGCAACAGCTATAATGAACCCCTTTATAGCCTCTTTTGTTTGGTTTCCATGCAATAACAAATTCATGAAAGGTCATTGACAATGATTTCTTGAAAAGAATTGACATAGATGGACTGACTGACAGCAATTTTAAATGAATTCATGCTGCAGCTGCTGCTGTTGCATTTTTCATGTTTGTGGAAAGGAAAAAAATTCTTAAAAATGAAATGAATTGTCTCTTCATTCTCTGAATTTGGAGATGTGATTGACACGCTATGAATGAACTGAACAAACCTTATTCAAATTCTATAAGGGGTTAGTAAGCATAGCTAAGAAATGGACAAGCTCTCTGCCTTGTAGGCCGGAAGAATGGTGACTCAAATACCAGGAGACGTGATTATGCTCTCTCACTAATCCTCTTTCTGTTGTCTTCAAGTGTAACAGGGTGGTTGAAACTTCAAGAAATTTCCTAGAGACGAATACGATAAATGAAGTAATGTTTAACAAGATAACAGTGTCGTGCACAAGTGCACCAGATGTTAAAATGGTTCCAATGAAAAGAACAGCAATGGTTGTTAGTGAATGCTGATTACTATTGTATCACCAATGTGGAATCATTAGTCCCCTGGCCAAAAACTGCTATAGAATTCTTAAGCATACTCCATCAAAGAGTCATCAAAAAAGACTGCAAAGGGTAAGCGTGGAAGAAGTAACAGCCATGAAATCTGGAATTGATTAAGACCTGCTGGCAACTATGTGCTAGTATAGGAATCCTGTTCCTCCTGACACTAGCTCTGTTGCCTATCCTATCTGGAAATTGAAACAAAATACGGACATGAATCATAGTTTTGTGTTATTAGCTTTAAGTAAAAATGACTTCAGTCAAAGGACAAATTGTTTTGATTTATTTTCTCTTGAAATGTACAAATTTTCAAATCACACTGATTATTATCCTTTGCAACTGCATAAATACAGTAATCCAAATTTTGAAAGAAAGAAATAGTGCTAACCGTGGGGGGAATTAAGGTAAACAAGAAAAATGTACGTTGTCTGACTCGTAGGTTTCCCTACTGTTAATCAGACAATTTTCTTAATTTGTTGAATCTCTATTCTGCCAATAACCAGAAGTCAAATTGACTGGATAGAGATCAGCAGCAGATGTAGAAGAAGTCCATGGCCCATCCGCTAACATACTCCTTGTCTGGCTGTAATCTGCATTATTTTCTTCAAGTTTCTGGTATAACTTTTTCATAGCCTCAACATTCAACTCATTTGCAGAAATACTTGAATCAGTAAAGAACTCCTGAACAGCAGCCCTGCCTTCAAGCATGCTCACCACAGAAGACATGGAAGGCCTAGCTGCAGCAGTACGATTTGTGCATAGGAAAGCTACATTGATCATTGCCATCACCTCGTCTACGTTGCAATCAGAGCCTATTCTTGGATCAACTAAATCCAATATGTTCCCTTTCTCCTTCACAACGTGAGCCTAGAAACACAAGATTCAATTTCCGCACTAAGATTCATTTTATAGTCAAAACTGACAAATGCATAATCTCCATTTGCTATAATAGGAATGAAACATCAATATTTCCAGTGAACTGCAATCCCAAAACAGTAAAACTCCCTCATTTAATGATTATGCAGCAGGCAGTATTCAATAACTCAATCCTTCTGTTCTACAAGCATGATAGTTGTCAGATTGGTCATTTAACAGGCCTCTCTCATTTATTTTTGGTAAGACAGCATATCAACATGGATAAACAATAGAGGAAAGAATAAGAGCTCAGTTACCCAATCAAGGAGATAGAAAGGCTCTTCCTTTGACCTGGTTTTAGTGTTGCACTTGCCACTAACAATTTCAAGGGCCACAATCCCAAAACTATATACATCTGCTTTGTCAGTTAAATGACCGTGCATTGCATATTCAGGAGCCATATAGCCACTGCAAAGTTAAGAAGATCAATTAAATACAGCTTGTTTTTTTTGTTGTTTGTGTTAGGCATTTGTATATATAAAAAAGAACAGTATTGCAGTCATTAACACACTTATCTTGGTGGATTGCATTGGAAACCACTTAACCTAGAAATTTATGTACTGTCAAATATTTGTTAACAGTGAAAATGAATATACATACAAGCAAATTTCTGTGTATTTGTGCATTATATATGTATTCTGGGAAATTTTCTAACATTCATTCATTGGCATTTGAGAAAAACAAAAAGGCATATAAATGAAGAAAAGGAACACACTGACAATCAATATGAACTGAGACTTACTAAGTTCCAGCAATTCGGGTGCTAATGTGGGTATTGTCCTCTTCATCCAGCTTGGCCAAGCCAAAGTCAGATATTTTAGGGTTTAGATTCTTATCAAGCAACACATTGGTTGCCTTAATGTCTCTATGAACAATCTTCAACCTTGATTCTTCATGGAGATAAGCTAAACCTCTCGCTATACCAATGCAGATCTTCCGTCTTGTTGGCCAGTCCAGTTTCAACCGAAATTCTTCTGGGCCTTTAATAACCAAATAAAGAGAAGCTCAGATATACTAACCATACATCTATTCGTACATTATTTATAACAAGCATCCACAGGTCTTAATTTGGGTGTGTGTACATGTGTGCGCTTGCTCATGAATCTAGTTAATAACAAAGGGTGTCAAAGTATGTTGTGGACGAGATCTACCAAACAATGCACGAGCAAGGCTGTTGTTTTCCAAGTACTCGTATATGAGCATCAATTGATTTCCATCAATGCAACATCCATACAACTTTACTAGATGAGGATGTTGTAGAGCTGAAATCATGCCAATCTCAGTCACAAACTCACGATTTCCTTGCTTTGATCTAGCTGATAGCTGCTTAACAGCAATTACTGTACCATCTGCCAGAATGCCCTGCATTTGAAAAACATTACCAGGTTCAATCAACGACAAAGTACCTGGAGTAAGTGCAGCAGTAAGAATGGTCACAATGCAAAGAATCAGAAGATTGATTGCGTTGCACGTGATACCTTGTAAACGGGACCAAAACCACCTTCTCCAATCTTATTAGTAGCATCGAAATTGTTTGTAGCAGCTTGTATTTGCCTTAAGGTAAAGGAACTGGTCTGCAATTCTATACCTTTTAGATCTGTTCAAGAAGCTAGGCTAAATAAGAAACATATTTATGATATAGCTTCTAAAATCTCTGGATTCCTATGGACATAGACTATGTTCCCTATTTCTTCCCAAAATTGTTAGATGGGGAAAGGGTAGATTCATGTCCTAGTAATATATTATTACACTATCATTTCATGTCAACAAGCTCACACAGCTCGGAAGTAACAGAGATATTGATTTCTCTCCAAATACCTTGTTCCAACGTACTCTTCCGTCTTAAACAGCCATTCCACCAAAGGATGCCCACAATCAGGACAGTAGCAAATACTGCTCCAGCCACAATACCAACCACCACGCCTGCAGCGATACCACCCCCATTTTCTGATGGAGGTCTATAACCTGGTTGAAGAAAATTTTGTAGAATTTAGTTGCAAGATGAGATGGCACTGTTGGTTGAAAGCATAATTCAACTTAATTGGAAATAATGGAGAAATATATAGGTGTGACTGAGAAAATAAAAAATGAAAAGAAAGTAACAGGGTCCAGCCTAACTTGTCCATGAAGAATTAAGGAAACTCTATATAGAAAAGCTATGGAAACAACCATTCCAGCCTGAACTCCTGTAAATTTGTCACAAGGACACAACTCTCCTCTAGGGTGGTCTCAATTTGAAATTTCTCCATCAAACTCATTATCAGATGACAAAAAGTAAAATCCAATAGCATCTGAATTAAATTCATCAAATACTGAGACACTTTCTTGAATACTAGAATTAATTCATTATCCCAAACAAAATCTCGAATAAAAAGATGAAACAAAAATAAACACATTATATAACCTTATGATAATAAAAGGACTTAGGTGAAAATGATGTACAAGACAAAAGAAGTAAAAGTTTCAACAAGTAGAATTCCTAGAATCTTAAGGAGCGCAAGTAGCATGATCTAAAATGAAATTTCCTACCTTTATTTAATATATGACAAAGCCATTAAAATAGCATGGTTTTGAACAAGATAAGGGAGCTTGCAACAATTAGAGACAATAAGAATCTTCCAGTTGGCAACCTACCAGGATCAATAACAGATATTGCTGAGATAAGAGGACCGTAAACTCCTCTCACGGGAATAGATTTTGTCCCTTTTCCAGCCCAACGCAAACGGATCTCCAGAGTACCATCAGTCACATTTGCAGTAAAATTTTTCACAATTGGTTTGCCAGCCCCACCTGCTTCATCCTTAATATTGAAATCCTTCAGCTCCTGCTTTCCCTGCAATTACCCACTCCATTTGTCCAAACTTTCTATGCAGTCGCATGTTGTAAAGGATACTAGAAATTTCAAGCTGATTGGCCATAATAAGGATTGAAATCCAATCCCTGATTCTGTGCCACAAATCATAACAAACCACAGTGCAATACTGCAATATTGGCAGAATTGTGGCCCTAGTCCTGCTTGTGATCTGGTGGTCACCTCCCCTGACCAGGGATTGGATTTGAATCCATGTAAGGCTGAAGCTCCTTTACTAGCTCAAATCAAGCAGAATGTGAAAGTTTTGAAGTTTCTCTAATGTCAGAACTTTGTAAGGAGAATAATAGTGCAATACCTGAATGTAAATATCAAATATCCGCCTCCCTAAACTGCTATAATTTTGACCATCAGTGAACTGTATCTCTGCAAAATGGAGGTTTACTGTGTATGTTGCATTGTCCAGACAGAATGCATAGTAAGTCAAAGAGCTAGGTGAAAGTCGTGCATTTCTGTACAGTTCACCAGCACTCGTAGAAAGCTGTGTATTTTCCAAAACATAGATGTCATCGGGCCGATTGTCATCCAAAAAAATACCGGTGTTGCTAAATGCCCAATAACTTGTACTTCGGAAAAATGTTGAAGGCCCAGCTCTATCATAATCATCTTCGTAGGTTTTACCATTAACAGTTGCACTTCTCCCTCCACTGTTTATATAAAGATAGTGCAAAGCTGAGGTTTAAAAAACAACAGTTCAATAAGTATTGGAGGAAAATACAAACAGAATGAATGAGTCACATAGAAAACAAGAAAAAGGTTACTAAGCCTTTCTCATCCTATTCATCCTCCTTTTTTCTTTACTTTTTTTATAGGCAGAGGGATGGGGAGTGGGGAAGAGGACACTGGAATTCAGGAAATTTAAAGTAATTTAAATTCTCTCTTTTTTTGTCTCCCAGAAAATGGAAAGCAACTTAATCATTTTTTCATTCATCTTTCCAATCTACAAAGTGCTTATCTGTAAAATCTCCTCCAGATGATTGCGACACAAGGTTAAAAAGACTAAGGAGACAGCTAAGCACAGGTTAAACAGATAGTGGTTCTCAACTGCCAATTGTCAATCTCAAATGAGTCAAGTACTTGGTATAGCAACATAGGCTAGAGCATTTGCAGAAAGATCAGTATTTTTTACAGAAAAGGAGAGAATATTCTGAAGTATGCAGTATGTATTTTTTAATGAAGTTACATAAGAAAAAAGACCCCGAACTTCTTTAAGTTCCTCAGGAAACATGCCAGGTATATCACAAATTTTTTATGAAAATTATAATACTCTATGACACTAGCATCATAGCATTTAGATGGTAACCAGAGTGAATTGAAGACCTTTTATTACTTATAAATGTTAGACCCTTTGTTCCCTGAATATCAAACAAAAAGTTGAAAGATAAATACAGCAAAGAATTATAGAGAAAATGTGAGCCATTATGAGAATCTAACATTGTTAAGAAGTATATGAATTTCTACTTACGTTCCGTGGGACAGTTAACGCTTCGCAAACATGAAACAATTCCACTGGTAAAACAATCATAAATCCCACAAAAAAGTTAGGCATTATAACAGCAAAACGGCAGTCTGTCAAAGATGTGAAAGTTTAATGATTGTTGTCTTGACACTTACGAGTTATAGATCCTTGAAGTGCTTGCAAACAAGTTCCTACAGACAATAAGAACATTATATAACTATAGCTATTATATGAAAGATCCAAACACAAACAAAAACCCAAAAAACAAACTTAGATGAGAACGTTCGTACAGGTCACTTTGTTGGCAGCTTGAAACACCTGTGCTTGTGAAGTTGTTATATGAGAGATCCCTGCAAATAGAATAGTTCAGAATATTAGTTTAATTAATCGGTAATGAATTTCACTTCGATTCTATCATAAAATACAATAAATTGATATCTAATTCCTTTTGTGCAATAAAGTTTTTTGAGGCCACATGCTATAGCTAAAGCTGGACTAAAATTTATGCCGTAGCACTTAACTTTACAAGTTGCACCTTGTAAATTGAAGCATCAAACTTCATTTTGGTTATTTGAAAAAGTGTTATGAATGATCAAATTTCTTGAGCATATAATTAATGTAATTGAACATTAGGAAGAGAATCTCACATTTTTTCTTTTGAGTCCCTTATCCATTGAGGGACTGCTCCCGTAAAGTTGTTTTCGGTTAAAAACCTGATAAAAGAAATCATGAAGTTTCTAAAATTAGATATTTCTGCACTAAACTTATCAGGAAGGTTTATCAGTTGTAATGACAAATCTGAGGATAATGAAAGAAGTGCATTTATCCATCCCCTGACATAGGAACAAGTGTGCTTTAGAAGATCTATTGCATGATTCACACAATTAATTAGATGATTATATTCATAGAATCAGCTTAAACTTTGTTTTCCACCACTAAAAATGGGTGTTTGCACTTTGCTGTAGAAAATTCATGGTTCACCCACTGCCGCTAGGGTGGAAGTGGAACTCCTGCAGGGCTGGGGTTTTAACCTCAGCAGCTCCTGCAAAATCTTTCCCGTTGAATCCACTGTACAAAAAAAAAATAAAAGAAAAAGAAAGTTAAATCATATCCTTACATTTGATCCAAATTAAGTTCGGAAAGACTTGGAATTTCCCCACTGAGTCTGTTGAAGCTGAGATCTCTGCAAGAAAATTTATATAAGGGTGTTAAAACCCTATGCTGTCTCTGAAAAATTTCTCAATTATTTTCTTAGAACAAAGCATTAAAATTCACAACTAAATTATGTCCTAATAGAAGTTAGAACTTAAAACTACAAGAACATTTTATGTAATCAAAAAATAACATTACCCAAAAAGAACATCATACTTCATCAAAACAAGAGAGATAGGCTGAAACAAAATTGAAAGAGAGCTTTTCCTCCATTAAAGAAAGAAACTAGGAACTAGAGATTAATTCAGTTGATTCATATACTCAATTATAAAAAATGACATCTGGTCCAGAGTTCAAATTCTGTAACTCCTACTCTTATCCTCATCTGTAACTCCAACTCTTATCCTCGTAATACGGCTTCCTTTATAAAAATAAATAAATAAAAAGGAAGAGACCACGTCTTTTACTCACAAGATCTTCACTGTTGTCAATGCCCCAAGAGAATCAGGTAGCTCTCCAACGAGATTGCAACTCCTCAACATCCTGTAATATGATCACAAATATTCCATTAATTTAGTTAGTGAAAATAAATCTCAGAACTTCCATCAATCTCTGCCTTATTGCAGAGTTTTACTTACAGTCTCTCCAATTTAGGCAAATCACTAAGTTGTGGAAAACGTGCTTCACCTCCATTCAAGTCACTAATTATTCTGTAAAGTATAAACCAATATCCAACAAACAACAAAAATGATCGAACAACAAATATGACAATATCCCATGTTATATGTACTGAAATCTTCGATATCTAAGATCCTTTGCTTACATGTATTTTAAATTTTCTAAAGAACCAATGGTTGGAATTGGCCCACTCAAACCACTTGCCTCCATATATCTGTCATTGCCAAAGTTGGATTCATTTAAAAGATTGATACAACACAATATTTCTAATGAGAAAAAGTAATTAAAGTTCTCACATTGTTTCGAGTTTTGTCCAATTCCGGAATATGAACTCGGGAATATTTCCTGCGAAGTTGTTGTCACTAATTCGACTGTCGAGAAAACAAAATTATCATAACCAGTGTAGTAACCAATTTGAGCATATAAAAATATATAATATCAATTCTGAATGACATGTAGAGAAGAACATTAGAAGCTTACAACTCCTTCAATGTAGTCAGCTTAGCAAATGTTTCAGGCAATTCTCCAGTAAAATTGTTGGAATTAAGAAACCTGCAAAGCCAGCAACATTAACAATACCAAGAGGAAAGCAGATATTAAATCAAACATAAGAAAAACAATAATCTCCTGTAAATCATGCGGGGATAAGGAAATGATTCAAACCAATATATAGTGATATTCTAGTAGATAAATGAAAGATTTAAACAAATTCAATCACTTTATATAATAAGTAAAATCCTACACAATGAAATGAAGTTCTGATAGAATTTGAAGAGGAAGGGAATCTCACAGTCTCTCAATCTTGGATAGATTCCCAAGGGCTGGTGGCAAATTTCCTGAAAAGTTATTGTGCTCAAGGACTCTACACAATTTTCAAAAAATAATATTAATGCGTTAGACATTTAAAACAAATATTCTTCTGAACATTTGTCAAAATGAGATGATAAATATATGAGAGAACTTGCTATAAAGCAACTCACAAGCTAGTAAGATTGCTTAGGTTCGCCAGCTCTTCTGGGATTGAACCTGTTAAACGATTTCCAAGAAGGGTTCTGCAACAATGCGTTTATGTATCCAAAAATCAGGGAATTAAAGAATTAATCCTGCTACCAAAATACTGTGTCTGTGTGTGTGTGTGTGTGTGTGTGTGTGTGTGTATATATATATAACTATGAAACATCAAAAAAAAAAAAACAAAAAATGAACATTCAATTTGAAATAAAAAGTGTATTGTCTATTGCTATAATAGTTGTCTAGCTATGTTTGAATTCATATGGAAGGTGATAGAGATGCTATGCATGCATCCATGCATACATACATACATACACATGAAAAAAACATACATGTTGACGAGTTGCATAGAACCCCATTCAGGTGGAATGGTGCCATTAAGATAGTTGCGCGTGAGGTCTCTGTAAGAAGAGTTCAAAACAACAAATTAAATATTGTCAGTCATAAAAAGAAATAAAGATATATAGTTAATGAATTGAGGTAAATTAAGATGATAAGCGCATTAAGCTGTAGGTCTTGAAAAGAAGTATGGGAAGGTACTTGCATTTCTTGGAGGAAAGGGAGGCTGACCAATTCTGGTGGGAGAGTGCCTGATAGATTTTGTCCCTTGAGCAATCTGTTTCAACATAAACCAAGGTTTGGGTTATGCTGCTTAAAATTGTATATTACTATTAACATATCAATACCAATTTCTAAAAAGTTGAATTCTTTACAATTGAAAATTAGATGTATGTTTAATACATTGACAATACACTATCAATTAATCAAGAGTGACTCATCATTAATGAACAAAGATTGAACTTTAAAGGTCTTTCAAAAGAAATATTTTAAATTTTAATTACCTAATTAAATAAAAAAATCTATTAATTAGTTTTTTAATTGATTAGGGTTTTTTTTTTTTTTTTTTTTTTTAACTGAAGCCCCTTAATTTATTTCATCAACAGACTCAGAAATTTTAGTGATGATGAAGGCTCCGCGTACCGATGGCCTCTCCTTGGCGGTCTTTTTCTTCTTCCATGATAATCTTACCAATTACCATATAACAAGAAACTATTTTAAAAATCTTTTAAGATTATCAGTATAGACCTATATAATACTCCGTTGGGTGCTGTAAATCAAAGGCTATAATCCAAGAGCTTTCACTGCTCCATTAATGGCAGTTGAAAGCCGAACAGCGGTGGCTAGTTGTGGTTGAGACGGGTCATGGTGGTAAGGATTTCCCATTTTCTTTTGGATTAAGGAGTTTAAATCAACCCTAGATTTTCCCTTTTCTTATTGCGGTATTACTAGTCGTAATTATTTGCGATTTTAAATGTTATCTTTTTTTCATTCAACAAAATTTGAAAGAGTTAAAAGAATATATTTGGATAGACGATAAAATTGAAAATCATGATAAAGATGAAATTGATTATTACAATAATAAAATTAAAATTAATGATTAAAATATGTATTTAGATATGAATGTAGCAGTGATGATGAATTGAATTATGATGAGAAATGAAATTATAATTAAAGATATTATATTAAAATTTATATATAATAAAAATTTTAAATTATAAAAAAATAATAATTTTAATTCTTAAAATAATAATTTTTGTTATTTTATTATTTAATTATATAATAAAATTCATTTTTACATTAAATTAAAAAAATTTATTTCATAATTTCTTAAATTAAAGAAAAATAAAAACAAAAATAAAAGTATTAAAATATGATAACAATTGGGAATAAAAATGAGAAAAACCACCCCCAGTTGGCCACCGGAAGGTTCCCTCTCCAATTGTCAACTAAAAGTGCTAGCAATGAAATTATTCAACCATGCCACACTGAAAAAATGCCTAATGAAGTATCAGTGTGATTGAAGCCAAAAAGTGGCTTCAACTGTGCCGCACTAACCCCTCAATGGCTTCCAAATGGGCCTTGATATCCAAATTCATTTAGTTGATTTGAGTCAAATTCAATATAAAAGTTTTACATGTGATTAAGTTTTTTGTAAAAAATAGAAGAAATTATTTTTAAGCTAAATAATTAAAATATAAAGATATTTATTTTTAAGAGCTTCTAAAATTTTAAATTTGTTTATTGATAAGATGATGATATCTAGTAAATTGATGGTGTATAAAATATATATACTATTAATATATCAAATATAAATTTTTAAAAATTTTTAATATTTTATGTTAATAATCTTTAATTTGTATTTTGATTAAGGGACTTTTCTTTTCATTTTTCTTTGAGAATTCAAATAACAAGGACCTATTCTCTTCTTCATCCTCCTTTTTTCTTCCTCCATTTTCCTTTGGTTTCCTTTTAGAAACATTAGCTTACTTAGGGTTGTATAGTTTGAATGTTATATGTGCTTGCATTTTATTAATTATAACTATCAAAATTATTTTTTTCCTTCTCAACAAAAACTTTAAACAAGTAATCTTATTTAGGATGTTTATAATTCAATTTTAACAAAATTAACTGATTGAACCGATTTAATTTGATTAATCAATTAATTAACAAAAATAATTTTGAAAGAATTTTAGTTTTTGATTAATTCGATGTAAAAATTAAATTAATTAAAATTTTAACCAAAATATAATATAATTTAAATATAAAATAAAAAAATATATGAAATTAATCATTTTATTTCAGAAATTGTTAAAGTTTTTAATATAATCTTTTGATTATTGAATATTTTATTAGGTAATTTTATTTAATTTATTTAAAATGTGAAAAATTAAGAGTTTAAAATATAATTTAATTTAAATGTATTTATTATTTGATTAACTAAAAAAATTAAACGAATCGATTGAATTAAAGTTATAGATTAATTTTTAAAATTAATAAATTTGATTAAATTAATAAAAATAAAATAATTTAATTTAATTTTAGATAATTCAATTTAAAATTAACTGAATTATCCGGATAAACATTTTAATTCTATTACTTTCTCAACATATGATTTTGAGGTTTCTTAGGAGACACTTCAACAATTATAATTTAAAAAGTTTTAAATTAAAAAAAAAACGTGATTTATAAGATGATAATTAAGAATTACTTCTCTATGACAAAATCATATAAAAAAATATGTTATTTTGAGATAAATAAAAAACAGACTAAGTAAACCTATCCACAAATCAAATCAAGCTCTGCCAACCTTTCTAATTTTTTGTCAAAGAGGTGGTCCATTGGATTTAACAAGCCCAAATATTTTTAAATTATTAAAATAATAATATTTTCATATTTTAAAATATATTTTAAAATTAAATATAAATATTTTTATTACTTAAATAATATCTCAAACTAAGTCATCTATTAATCTGATTCTCGAACTGGTTTAGATTAAAAAATTTTTAACTCTACTAACATTTTTAATTAAAATAATTAAAAATTAATATAACAAAAAATACCCTTGTCAATCTTTTATTTCTGTTTATAAATTTTTTAAAAAAATTATCTATCAGATAATATATAGAAGATTAACCAGCAAATTTCTGTTTACAAAAAATTTTTTTTCTGTAAATATATTATCGTTTTAATTTTTTTATGATACATATCAATATTTAACTCAATTAATTAATGTTTAATTTCTTAAGCAAAGAGTATCTTTCAAATCCTCTTTTTTTCAACTCTAATCATTTGATTGAGAACCAATGCCAAAGGCTTCCCGGCACAATCAGTTCGCGTTGTACGACTAGCTAGGGCCACCAATAGCCTCGATTCTGAAATATTTTCCTTGAGACCATAAATATTCGTAATATAATAACTAATTTCTTTTAATGCAATTTCAAAGGAAAAAAAAAAGATGCTTTTTTTAAAACAATTATTTATTTGTTGTTTTTGTTTCTTATGAATTAAAAGTTTAAATCTTCTTTTTATACATACAACTTACGAAGTTATTGATTGTTTGACCCATTACCTTAGAGTAATTAATTTTTTGGATTCAAATTAAATTGAAATTTTATTAATTAAACAATAACTTACAATTATTATATATCTATTAGCATCTATATACTGCATACCTTATAAAACAAATTAAGGATTAACCTTTTTTTCAATTACTTTATCAATAATAACTTATAATAATACATGAAGAGATTTAAAGATCCTTTTGACACGTGGTGGAAGGAATTCCCACAGCGTCACAACTGTCTTTTATGACTGGGTTCCTTCCTCCTACCATGCTGATAAGTTTGTTCGACAATTAATAAACTTGGACGAAAAAAATTCATTTGAAGAGAGAGATGCTTACATGCGGACGACATGGCAGGTGTTGTTATTGTCGAAGGAGCAATCACAGGTAACATTATTATCATAATTAGATTTGGGTTCTTCTTCCCAACTCCGGTGTCGACTGCATGGATCAATATCAAAGTTCCAGTTTGTCTTCCCCAATGTCTTACCTATGCTTTTCAAAGCTTCCACTATGCATACAAATATATAACAAAAAAAAGGGTGAAAATTACAAGAAAAAAAAAAGAAAAAAAGAATTAAGCCAAGTTCTTTATCTCTAGACTACTTTGATTAATTACCTTCATCACTTGCAAGTGTAGCTCCTAATGAAAAAGTTGTAAGGCAACAAGCAATGAACATTGAAGCAAAAACAAGTTGAGGAAAGAACATCTTGGAATGTCGTTGAAGAGGAACTGAAGATCTCCTTTGCTCCTTTTGAATGAAGAAAAAATGGCATGAAAGATTGGGTTTTAATAAACATGAATATGAAAGTCGAAGTTTCTATGAAATGAAATAAAGGCAAGAAGAAGAAAATTATTTTGGCCGCCTTATACAGAAAAAGAGAAAGGGTGAAGGTGTGCACACTTGTTGGTTTGAGATAAGAGACAAGTCAATTGCATATTATACTGTGATTGGTTGTTTGTATGACTTACCAAACAAAAATGTTGTCGTATAGTTAGAAGTTGTATAAATATCACGCATGAAAATTTAATGAAAAAAGGTCCCATATATATAATAATGGAATTTGAAATCCAGTTTCCTTTATTTAATGGTTTGTACGTACTTGTCCTCAAGAATATTATCTTCTTAGATATATATATATATATATATATATATATCAAGTGATGAGAAAATGTAAAAAATCACATTCAACGTAATTGCAACTATTGTTAGTCCGGGGCAATTAAAAATGAAAATTACACCCAATCATTTCAGTCAAATATGGTTGCTAGATATATGCATTTATTATCTTTTTAAAGTCGAGGTCAAAATTCCTTTTTTTTTTTTTTCTCTATTTATGATTAGAAAATAATATATTTAAAGCATATAAAAAATAATTGGATATCATGATATGTATACATTGTTAGTGAAATGTAAAAACCTATAAAAATGAATTTACATTTGTAAGCTTGTATATATGCTAGATTTATTCAAGAGTTGAAATATTTATCAAAATCTAAATGTCCATTCAAGTTTTAAATGGATTTAGACAAAAAATTAAAATTCATTAAATGGGTTTAAGTACAATTTTTAAACTTATTTAAATTTAAGATTGAGTTTTGAAAAAATTTAGAGTTCAAGCTCAACCCGATCCAAATTCAAATATATATAAATTATTTATTTATATATATGTAAATTATATATAAATTAATTTATATATATATAAAATAAAAATTATATATATATTTATTAAACTTAGTAAAAATAAAATTGATATAAAAATAACAATTAAGTTTAATAAAATATATAATTTTTATTTTTTATATTTATGTGAATTAAATATAATCCCATTGAATTTAATTTGATCATACTTTTTAAATTTTTTGTTATATGAATTAAGTTTAATAGGTTGGTTTGAAATTTATTTTTTTAATTTGGGTCTGGTTTAGAAAACTTTTAAGATCCAAAATTTTGTGTCGAATTGAGTTTTGATAAATATATAAATTATTAATATCAAATATAAACCAACTCGACCCGACTCATAAACACCGATATATGACATTTCATGATAATATTTAATTAAATGATTATTATAAATTAATAATTTTATGATTTATAATGATTCTTTTAAATATTACTATCAACTGATTAAGAAAAAAAAAAGACTTCTTTTACTAGTTATTAAAATTTTAAAGCAAACCAAGGTTCTCAATGTGAAAAATACCTATTAGTAAGTTTTTTTTTTTTTTTTTTTGGTCAAAGATGAAACATTGTTAGATTAACTAGGCTACAAAAAAGTCTTAAAAAACAAAAAATGATTAAAATTACTATTTTGAAAAGTATTTCATTCAATATATTAAAACTCATTGTGTATATATATATCTAACAAGTGTTGCATTTAATATGAAAATACTTGTGTGAACAATACCTTAATTTAAAGAAATTAACAAATTAATTATACATTAAAAAAATACTAATTACGAAAGTAAAAAGTAAAACCAAAATCTGTCTTATTTAAGAAATTAAAAAATAATTGATTAATATTTCTAGATTACACCATGATCTATATATAATAACAAACGAATAATGTTATTTGATTCAAAATTTTTATCTCTTTTATTTATATTTTTTAATGTAGCAAAATTTCATTGGATAATCTATTAAGGTAGCAAAATTTTATTGAATAATCTAAAATTGAGATCTGTCCCTTTTTTGGCCGTTAACTTTGATTATGAATACAATGTTGAATTTGAAATCAATAACTTTTATCGCATAAAAGTCAAATAATATAAACAAAATGTAAGATCAAAACCAGCAGATTGAGTTTGACTGACAGCTTAAAGATGGTGGGGAAGGGTGGGAAGTAAGTAAAAGTCAAGAGCAGTTATATATTCAGAAACGACAACTTGACAAGTGAATGTGATAGACAGTTATTTTTTCCATTAATTATATGTATATTGAAATGATCGATTTATATAACTTTTATATTTTTTTTAAAATTTGAATCAAAATTAAATTTATAATTCATTTAAATCAAAATAATTATTTTAAATTTGATATTAATTTAAAATTTTAAAAATATATAAAAATAATATTAATATAAATAAAGCCTTATTATATAAACATTTTTTTATTTATTTAGATACTTCACTTTTTGTTAATATTAAACCAGGGATGGATGCAAGTGTTATAGTAGGGTGTCCATGGCCTACTGTCGATATGCTACTGTGCGTCTGGCTCTTAGGGGCACTATTTCTTCAAGATGCTGGTAAAGTCTCTTCATCACCTGAGAGTTGGATTCGTCAGGAAGAGTGCTTGAATCTGTAATCAATCCCTAAACAGCAGCCTTGCCTTCAAGCATGCATATCTCACATAAAGAGGACATGGCAGGCTGTTATACTGGATACGGCCTTTTTTTGTTGACTTGTATTTTTCAGAGGGCAATACAACAACTGTTTAACAAATTAGAAGTGTTTTGCCCTGGATGTTCCATTGTTGTCGGTGAAAGCAGATTGCCTTTACACTGGGATGGCAAAAACTGCTATAGAATTCTTAACATATTGCGTCAAGAAGTTTAATGAAAAAGAAAGCTAGCTATGCAAAAAATAACAACCATATGTGACTATTTACATTTTGCTTTATGGGAAAAATGTTCTAAGACTTCTTTTTTTTTTTCTTTTTCCCAATTCATTTGCTAAATTACATAAAAGCAAAGTCTTTCTCATTTCAATCAAGACAGTTTGCTTGATTTGTTCAGTCTCTACTCTGCCAATAATCAGAAGTTAAACTGACTGGATAGAGATCAGCAGCAGATGTAGAAGAAGTCCATGCTCCAACTGTTGACATGCTGTTTGTCTGGCTCTCAGGGGCACTCTTTTCTTCAAGTTGCTGATAAAGCTTCTTCATAGCCTGAGAGTTCGATTTGTCCGGAAAAGTGCTTGAATTTGTAACAAATTCCTGAACAGCTGCTTTGCCTTCAAGCATGCTAACTACAGAGGACATGGCAGGCCTAGCTGCCGCATTAACATTGGTACATAGGAGAGCAACATTGATCATTGCCATCACCTCTTCTTTGTTGTAATCAGAGCCCATCCTTGGATCAACTAAATCCAATAAACTCCCTTGCTCCTTCAAAACAAGAACCTGGAAACAACAGGAAGATTGAATTGATAAGCTTCAACTGATAAAATAGGAAAGAAAAACAATATATCATGTGAAATGCAATCCTAGCTAGAATAAGAGTTCTTGTACTATAACATTACCCAATCAAGAACATAAAAACATTCTTCCTTCGGACGGTAACTAGTGTTGCTCCTCCCACTAACAATTTCCAGTGCCACTATCCCAAAACTATAAACATCTGCCTTATCAGTTAAGTAACCACGCATTGCATATTCAGGAGCCATATAGCCACTGCAGAGTTAAAAATATTAATTTAGTACAGCATTATAGTTTTCCATATTTTGCATTTAAATTATTGTAATAACTATGTCCTTGCAACTATACTGACTCAACTTGCATTGAAAAGTATACCTATCCTAGAAATTTCTGTACTGTTAAAGATCTGTTTGCACCTTTGTCTCTCTCAGGAGTTTCTATTACTTGTTGGAATTTATTAAAAAAGGTTGTAAAATATATTAAGGAACATGTTCATAGGCAATCAGAACAGTGATGCTTACAAAGTTCCAGCAACTCGGGTGCTAATGTGAGTATTATCCTCTTCATCAAGCTTGGCCAAACCAAAATCTGATATTTTAGGGTTTAAATTCTTGCCAAGCAACACATTTGTGGCCTTGATGTCTCTATGCACAATCTTCAACCTAGATTCTTCATGGAGATATGCCAAACCTCTTGCTATTCCAATGCAGATTTTACGTCTTGTTGGCCAATCTAATTTCAATTGACATTCTTCCGGACCTTTTAATAACCAAATAAAGAATAGGTCAGACATATTTTGTTTGTTTTGTACATATACATGCATGAATAGCTTCAAAACCAGCAATCAAATGAATGATGTGGCTAAAACCTACCAAACAATGCACGAGCAAGGCTGTTGTTTTCCATGTACTCATATATCAGTAACAGTTGATTTCCTTCTATACAACAACCAAATAGCTTTACCAGATGAGCGTGTTGCAGAGCAGAAATCATTCCAATTTCATTCACAAACTCACGGTTTCCTTGCTTTGATTTAGCAGATAACTGCTTAACCGCTATTGCTGTGCCATCTGCCAGAATGCCCTGCATTTGAGAAATTTTACCAGCATCAATTTTCAATAAGATATGTTGGAGGAAGAGCTGCAACAGGAACATTCCAAGTGGAAGGAATAAGAAGAAAGTATTTGTGGAACATTATACCTTGTAAACAGGACCAAAGCCTCCTTCTCCAATTTTGTTAGCAACATCAAAATTGTTTGTGGCAGCTTTGATTTGCCTCAAGCTAAAAGAACCAGTCTGCAAGTCTAGACCTTTTAGATCTGTGGAAGAAGAAAAGCAAGATTAATTTGGACCTTTTATGTGATAGATACTAAAATCTTAGGTGTCCTGTTGTCTAAAGGCAAATTTAAGTGGAAACAAGTAAGTTGTAGCTATCCATTCCAAGTTGAACTGAGGGAAAATGGGATGGTGAGGTAACATCCAATAATATTTTTATTACAATATTCATGTCTACAAGTTGGAGAAGAGCTGGTACAATATCAAAATCTTGATTTCACTACAAATACCTTGTTCCAACGTGCTCTTTTGTCTTAAACAGCCTTTCCACCAAAGTATGCCCCCAATGAGAAAGATGGCAAATGCTACTCCAGCTACAATTCCAACCGCTGCACCCACAGATATACCGCTACTACCCCCATTTTCTGATGGAGGTATAAAATCTGCTTGAAGAAAATTACAGAAGAGTTACAAAGATGGGATGACTGATGACATTGTTTTTCTGAATGCTTAATCCAACTAACTGGAGACCATGAAGAATACAGATTGGACGAAAGAAAAGAATTCTTAAGCATCAAACTGAAAGAAAGGAGGAAAGAAGAAGTGAAACAAAAATGAAAATGTTCTTTCTTTGTATAATAATAGTGACTTAAGTTTATCAAGAGAAAAGAAATTGAAATTTCAGCATTCTGATTCGTAGAATCTTAAGGAAACACAAGTATCAAAAGTTGAACAAGATTACATAACTATATTATTAGTACATTATAGCAGACTTTGACAAAATGAACATCCAACAATGAGGGTCTAGAAGAAGAATCGTATGATAATGTACAACGTACCAGGATTCACAGATACAGCTGATATAAGAGGACCATAAACTCCTCTAACAGGAATACCAGTTGTCCCTTTTCCAGCCCAATGAAAACGGATCTCCAGGGTACTATTAGTTACTACAGCAGGAAATTTCTTTATGATTGCCTTGCCAACTCCACCTGCTTCATCCTCGATATTAAAATCCTTCTGCATCAGCTTGCCCTGAGATTTGCTATTCTAGTTAACTGAAAATTTCATGCACACACTTATTACGAAGTTCTTTTTGCTCAGTTTTAGAGTGTAATAGAAATAATAGGCCAAAGCACATAATATTGTTTTACGTTTGTCTAACAACATAACTTTGTTAGTAAGAACCATATTGAATAACTACCTGAAGGTAAATATCAAATATGCGCCTTCCCAAGCTGCTATATGTATCGTCATTAGTGAACATTATCTCTGCGAAATGGAGATTCACAGTGTAGTTTCCATCGCCCAGGCAAAATCCATAGTAAGTCAAAGAAATGGGAGAAAGGCGTGCGGTCATGTATAGTTGGGAACCATCCATGGATAGTTTAGATGAATTTGTCCAAGTATAGGTGTCTGTTTCACGGTCATCATCCAAGAAGTGACCAGTGCTGCTAAATGCCCAATTATTTCTACTTTGAAAAAATCTTGAAGGTCCAGCTCCATCTGTATCATCTTCATATGTGGTATTTCCACCAATAGTTACATCTCTCCCCCCACAGTTTATATGGAGAGAGTACCAAACTGAGACATAAGAAACAACAGCTGACAAACTATTGAAGAATTATACTTTTCAGTCTTCAGAATGAAATGTTCACACAAATAAGAAGAAGAAGAGTTACTCAGGGGTACTCTTTTCAATTTAGAAAGTATTGCATAGTTTCATGTGACTATCTTTAAACTCTTGGCTTGATAACTATCGGTTATGGCACAAGTTTAAACAGACATAGTAATCAGCTGTATGGGAGTCATGTGGATAATGGATTCCAACAGCAGAGTTTCAACCTCAAATGTGTCAGCAAATTGGCCAAGCACTTAGAATGGGTAGAGCATTTGCAGAAAGATTGGTGATATTTGAAAGAAAAGCAGAGTATCTTGAATTATATCACTTTGCAATTCAATGCTAAAGCATTGTCAATGAAAATATATTCATGAAGCTAGAATTTAGAAACTACCAGGTGAATTCAAAGGGATATATCAAAACCTCTTAACATTCTTTAGGATGACTTACATTTTGGGCAATGAAAGCTTCTCAAACAAAAAACAGATCCCCTGATAAACAATAGATTGTCCAGAAAATGTCAGCCTTGATAGCAAAATAAGGTATCTCTGAGAATACCAAAAGTTTAAGAATACCCTTATAGAATAAAAAAGAAAAAAAAAAAAAAAAGAAAAGAAGCAAAGGCTTACGACATATTGCTACGCGAAGTGCTTGCAAACAAATTCCTACAGAAAATATTACAAATATAAAGTCATTGTTAGTGGCTGAAATATCCATACACTCACATCGACCAAAAAAACCAAACACTTAGATGATAAGATTCTTACACGCTCCTCTGTTGACAACTTGATGTCCCTTGGCTTCCAGCTGTGAAATTGTTATAGGAAAGATCACTGCACAAAATATTAGTATGTATAAGTAATCTAATGTTTTGTTAGGTATATCTTCGGTTTTTCGTTTAATTTTCCAAGTACCGTGTGAGTTGCTATTCCAAGCCCATTATGCAGTCACCTTTAAACAGGATAATAAAAATTAAGCTCTAAGAAGAGCTACAAAGGCTTATGCACAAATCTAATGAGTTCCAATTGTGAACCAATATATCAAAGTTCTTTCCAAAGAGTGAAAATCTTGGAAGAGAATCTTACACATTGTCTCCATTTTCCAGTATCCAAGTAGGGACGGATCCAGTAAGCAAATTTCTAGTCAAATACCTAATGAAAAATAATAGTAACTTAATGGAATCAGACATTTTGCATTAAATGACAAAAAATTGATAGCGCAATTTCTCACTAGTGATGCCAAACAGGAACATATGAAACAGCACATTAATATTTTTGGTAAACACTTCAATTTTTTTTTTTTTGGCTAACTGGGGTTCAAACTCGAAACCTGGAGCCAACTCCATTGAATAATACTAACGTCTAGTTGATAGAATTAAATGTACACATCTTCTGACAGAGGAAACAAGTTTGGTTTATAAGACATGAAGAATGGTTATGTATTTTAAATTGCTGATATAGATTGCATGATGTATACTGTAGCCATGTATTACTAATTAAGTAATTTCATTGGATCAGCAAGAACAGTTTGACATCTCAGGAAAGGCTGCTTGCACTTTGTGGGGGGAAAATTTACCGTCAAAGATCGATCACTTACAAGTAATTCACGTCCCCAAGGCCAGAAAAATTGCTTGGAATTTCTCCACTGAGTTTGTTAAAGCTGAGATCTCTGCAAAATGAAAACAAAAAGTTACAAACTCAAAGGTATTATAACCACATTTTGTCTGAGTAAAGTTTCTCCAGCTCTCAGATAAACAAGGTTGAAAAGAAAGGCTAAATATTTCTGAGCAGCACAGTGAAATTCATAACTAGAAAGATAAGAGAGGAGAAAGAAAGAAACAAAATCAAAATGGAGCCGCAACGGAACATATCTTAATCATAAACAACCTAAAAACTACACGAACTAGCGGAAGAAAATTGGGTTTATAACTCACAAGGTCTTCAAATTTGCCATATCCCCTAGATATTCAGGTAGCTCTCCAATGAGATTGCAACTCCTCAGTATCCTGTAATACAACCACAAATATCTCTTATTTGAGTTACAAAAGAGTTATTGATATTTTTAATGGAATCTTCTTCATTGTAGAATTTTACTCACAGTATCTTCAGATTTTTCATGCCACTAAGTGGTGGAAAAGTTGCATCAGTTCCACTCAAGTCACTAATTCTCCTGTTCATCATTTTTTTTTTTATAAATAATGAACATCATAATGCAATGTCCCAATATTTAGAAAAATGAGATCCATCTTACAAGTCAGTTAAATTTTCCAGGGCACTAATGCTTGATGGAATTGGTCCAGTTAGACCACTTGCCTGAATTGCTCTGCCGTTACCAACATTTCATTTAGGTAAGTAAATGATAAAGCAAAATTCTAAGGAATAAACAACTGTAAAAGGCATCAGTAATATCAAAGCTCTTACAATTTTTCAAGGTTTGTCCAATTCTGGATGAAGATAGGGATCTCCCCTGTGAAGTGGTTATCACTAATCCGACTGTTGATCAAACAAAATTATCAGAACTAGCATTGTAACATAGTAATTAAGCCTGATAAATCAAAAAAATTAAAAGCTTACAAGTCCTTCAATGTGGTCAGCTTAGCAAATGTTTGAGGTACTTCCCCAGTAAAATTGTTAGAGCTAAGAAGCCTAAATACCAATAACAAAATGACGTATGAGCTAGACAAATCAAACTTAATAAAAACAGTAATGAATGAAATTCTTGTGAAGATTTAAAGATTAAGAATCTTACATTCTTTCAATTTGTGGTAGATTCCCAAGCTCTGGAGGCAAAGCTCCAGAAAGCTGATTGAACTCAGCTGATCTACATGTTTTTTGTGATTAATAAATATGAGTCAGCTGATATTGATAACAAAGATTCCTATAAATCATCATATTAAAGTAAGCAATACAAGAAACTGGCTATCAACAACTCACATGCTGGTAAGAGTACTTATATTTCCTAGCTCTTTTGGGATTGGACCTGTTAAGCGATTTCCAAGAATAGAACTGCAATAATATTCATGCAAGGATAAAAAAAATTATAAATTTCACATGCATTACCCATCATAACTGTCGCAAATACATTCCACAATTGCATCATAAGCCATAACTGTTTGCAGAACGTTGCAACTATTCAAATCTTACTGCAAAATCTATCAGCAACAAGATTTGAAAATTTTTGGAAGATATGTTAGAAATGTTATGCTGAAAAACTATTTGTAAGATTATTTTTAATAATCTTGCCACTAAATTTAGTTTGTGACAACATATATTATTGCAACATAATACCTTTTATACTGTAAGAAAATCAAAAGTAGTGAACTATCTAATCGAGTTTCTTATGTAATTAAGTGTCTACTTAATAGAAATATGTTATATAGAGAACATACATGTTGACAAGTTGCATGGAACCCCACTCTGGAGGTATTGTGCCATTAAGGAAGTTGCGGCTGAGGTCACTGCAACAACATTAACAGTTTAAGTTAGTTGATGAAATGGAATTTCCATTTTCATGGAGGTGAAAAACTGCCACGAAGAAGATTGGAAAATAGTTGAACTTACATTTCTTGGAGATAAGGGAACTTGACCAATTCTTTTGGGAGAGTGCCTGGGAGACTCTGTGCCTTAAGCATTCTGTTTCAATGGAAAATTGGGGTTGTGGTGCATAAGACTAACTACTATTGATGTATCAATGTAGTTTTCAAACGATTGAAATGATAATATGATTCATCATTGAAATTTTTAACTTCATGTCAACAGAGTGACCTTTTTTAAGTGGTAAATTGTTTTGAAAAAAAAAAATGTTAGGAAAGAAGATACTGTTACATTTAAATTTTAAACACCATTTCACTTCATTAAGTCGAGCTAAGACCCCTTTAACAGCTTTACATGATGGATTCTTATCACACTACAGCTGAGTTTTATAATTAAATATTTGAAGTACAAGCTATGAACCGTCTTAGAAGTTTAAGCCATTAGAAAAAATATCAATTATTACACTCAGTTCTAACACACTTCTATCTCAAATTAAATGTCCATGATTGACTTAATTTAGAGATTAAGAAAAAAAATTCTAATTTTAGCTTTTTATCTTATTTTTGAAATTGTTTTATAAAATTGTTGAATTATAAGGATTGGGGCCTAAATATTAATAATAAACAAAAAAAAAAAATTATCGGTGTTTGAAAACTAGAAGTGGATATTAAATTTGAGATGGAGAGCAACAAAAAGAAAAAGATTGAATTAAATATTTTATCCAAATATTCAATGACAAGTAACTGTATCTCACTAAAAAAGAATGGAATAAATGAGTTTTGATTTGATAGATTTTGTTTCATTAGAGCAGCCGCGTTGGTTGACCATAGGTTCATATTACGACTGAAAAACTCAGTCTTATCCAAGCCGACCAAAAAGATGGGCACACGCGTATATTGTCATAAATAAAACAGTTAGGCCCACATTTCTGTGTATATGCATGAATGCCATTGACCCATGCTGTTCCAAGTCAATGGTTTTTGGCAAGACAAGGCTGATCCAATGTATTTGTGCTCGAATCAGAATTTAATTTAATTAATTTAATTATTTTTAAAAATTAATATTTAATAAATTAAAATTTTAATATATTTAATTTGTAATTTTTTATAAAAAAAAATAGATGTGCTCACTTCATATCATTAATTATATTTTAGGAATCACTTGTAGTTAGTCTTGTGCACCACAACCCCAATTTTCACTTTTTGTGGGGGAGAGCTGGTAACTTGTCTAGTCAATTTCAAATCGATCAATTTATACGTGGAAATTACAGCCTGCCAATCACTAACAAAAGGTTTGTCTATGGTTTTCTAAAGTTGAAAATGACAATTGGCAAACACAAGCTTAAAACCCATGCATGCACTTCGAACTTTCCGAGTTGGTGCTTGAATTTTGTTAGATCAACCCATGATTCCCTTTTCAAGGAAATTATTTTTTTAGGTAAGATTACCACAACGAAAGCAAACGTTTAGCTATTGTATAATAAAAGAAAAGATACTTAATATTTTAAATATATTGAGTAATTAAATAAAAAAATAATTTTTTTCATCCTTCACATCTCTTATTTCACCCCAAAATTAGAACTTAAAACATACGAGTCTTAAAATATATTTCAATTAGTATGAGTTGTCTTTGCATAGATATCATGTCCATGGACCCAGCTACTAGAAGGCGTGTCCAATTCAAATTGAACAAAAATTGAGTTTTAGAGTTTGGGTTTGATTCAAAATTTTATTTTATATTTATTTTTAATTTTAAAATATATAAAATATTATTAATTAATATATATTCTTATAAAAAATTCGAATCTCTTGATGAGTTAGACATTGGACAGACCTTTTGAAAGATTGATTGGATCTAGTCCAGAAAGATTTATTTTTGCAAAGTAAAAAAGGCAATTAAAGTTTTTTTTTTATTATTAAATGTGATTTTATAAGTTTTCTCTTTCTCTTTTCTTTCTGCTCGTAACAATAACTGTCCTTTACTAATAATAAACTTTTTTATTACAGTAATTTGCAATAATATATAGTTAATAAATAATATGTTAATAACTATACCTCTTACTTATACTACATGATGTAACTAAATTACAAATATAGGTAATTAATCACCTATAAATTAAATAGAACACATTCATTTTTATTTATTTGTATAGTACCCAAGTTGAGACAGAAGATCAATTTTATGGCTTCTCATGAAGTAAATGTAAAATAATTATTATTATGGTTATATATTTGAAGAAGTTAAAATCCGAACTTTAAACCTCAATGGTATCTGTAAAAAAGTGATAATCATTCACTATTTTCTTTATTAATTATTGTAGTTTTTGAAAAATATAATAGAGAACGGAGGATGAAGAGATCGAAATGGAAGAGAGAGAGGGAGATGCATACATGCTAATGACATGGCAGACGGTGGCATTAGAGAAGGAGCAATTACAGGTAACGGCATTTTCGAATCCTTTCAGGGGATTAGGCGTAGCCCACCCTTCCTCTCCACTGCATGGATCAACGCTGAAGTTCCAGTCTTTCTTCCCTAGTGTCTTTGCTGTGTCTTTTAAACATTCCACTGCAAAAATCAACAAAATCCCCATACATCAAACAATTATTGAAAGCAAAGGTAAATAAATAGAAATTGATACAACAAAAAGCGAATACCTTCATCGTCTGGAAGTGTAGCTCCAAATACAAAACTTGATAGGCAACATGTTAAAAGGATTGAAGCTAGTAAAAGTCGAGGAGTGGACATTTTTGTTCTTCTAGATCAGGAAACGAATCAAGATACTCAATTCACACTTGAATGCAAAACATGGCTAGAATGAGAAGGAAGCAAAAAGTGGGAGACTTTCTGGGTTTGTTCTTTTTTTGAAGATAGAAAGAAGTAGACCTTGAAGAGAGCTCACAAAAATGAAGTCAACTATTATTTTAAGCTCGTAAGACAACAAACAATTTTGTGTAGTCCCACCAGAATGATATCTAAAGCATCAAGTTACATGAAAATAAATAAATAAATAAATAAAATATTGTATGATTTGAGCGAAATAATCCCTCCATTGACAAGGATGGGACACAGAAACCCATGTGTTTCCATGCTTTTGTCTATATAGTCATTTTCATGCGCGTCGTCATCTGAAATTCTGGTATAAAATTAATTAGTAATGCTATAAGATATGTCTAAATTATGGCCTCAAGCTCAAGATTCCTAAATATTTATATGATCAGAGATAAGAGAAAAATCATGGTAATGGATGTCCCCTTCTTTATTTTTGGGAAGATTATAAATAAAGATGGGTCAGACTTATCCTATTGGAAGATTTAAAATACATATTTCAGTTTGATTCCACTCGATAATTTAAATTTTGTTTATTAATTAAATATTAAAAATGTTTTATATTAATATTTTAAAATTAAAATGTGTATATTTATATCTCATCTTTAGTCAACTATTTTTCAGGTAGCTTAAGCCTTTACTAAGTGAGAGTATAAATGTACAATGCAAGATCAAAATAATTGTATTACATTTTAAGTTTGACAGCTCAAAAAAAAAAAAAAAACCTTTGATTAAGATTTTAGGAGAATAATATATAGTTTCAACTTACAATCTCTTTACCAATTAAATTGACTAATTCACAACCACTTCAATTAAATACACTTATGGATATATGGATGGGTGACGGGTTGGTGATGGACTTTCCCTTTCTGCATGTTTGTAAATTGAAAATCTTCTCAAAGGCACCGAAATATATCATTCAATTTTATTTTAAAAAAAATTCAAATTCAATTGTTTAAGTAGTAGAAAGATTTATGCCAAAGTCAATATTAATATATAAGTGATATGTTATGTCTCTAGCAAAAAATATATATATCCAAACTAGTTTAATTCAAGGGCTGAATTGATGGCAGTAATTTTTGGTTTTTTTTATATATTTAAAATTATCAAAATTTAAATTTTAATCACTAAAATTAAAATTTTAATATCTTATTAATGAATCATGCAACTGTTAACAGTACTAACTGTTGTCATTGAGCAATTGCTTATACAACAAAGAAAATGACTTCTAAAGAAGAATTAATGCTAGTTATTAATCCTGCCCATAGAAACTTGTAAGTGGAATTAATTAATCAAAAAATAAAGAAAATTCTGCTACCAAGTTTTGTTTAAGTTTTATGTTATACCATGAAACTGTAAAAGACACCCAAAATAATTATAATTAAAATTTATGCTCCAGCAAATCTCATTTTATATCATTTCTAACTATACTGACTAAAACAATACAACTAGCTCTTTAAATATGTATACAAAAGCAAAGAAACCCATGCTTCAAAACAAACAAAGCAAAGAAATCTGTGTTGGCACTTGGACAGCTATGCCTTGCAGGATAATTTGCTGGTGACAGCTCTGCCTTGCTTCAAGGTGGTAGTTTCACCATTAATTATTCTATCAAACTTGCTAGCTTATTATTGAATGAAAATAAATATGTACCTTCTTGAGAAATGATAGGAGAATATGAAAATATAGTTGTGTGATTAATCCGAATAAGATACAATTTTTTTTTTTGAAGCAAAGATGCATTAAAATTTTATTTTTTTAAAAAAATTTAACCATATATACATACTTTCATCATTTTTATCTTTTCTTTTTTTGAATTCTTAGACCAATTTGCGCAACTTTGCTTTCTTTTTAGGATGAGCTTATAATTTCGATGCATGTTTTGTTTTTTTCAACGCAAATGTTAGTGATCATGTGAATTGCTAGGTATGTGAGATCTATGACTAAGTAAATATAATTGATTTCGAATTAACCGAGGTTTTATTCAACTAAGTTATGTAATCAATTTTAAAAGATTATAATTTTTATTTTATCATATGATTAGACTTTTTTTCATACTAAAATATATAATAAATTTCTAAGTCAAATTAAGGGGCAAGTGAAGCATAGATAATTGGACTTTGACATCTCAATTCCGAGAAAAATTTGTAAAATAAACCAAGTTGTAAGATGTGAGTTGTACTAAAATTTTTATAAAACTTACGAAATAACATAAGTATAATTAAAAAAAGTTTCATACATATTTCGCATTTCTTGAATCATATACCTTACTCATGCAAATAATGCATAGATATACTTATTCTGTTGAACAATATTTATTAAATATAGTATAAAATTAGTTGAATTCAACTATCATCCTAGCTAATTGTGTTGGACATACATTTTTTTTTCTTGATTTCAGAAAAATTCTTGATTGAAATTTACAATAAGACCAATCATTTAAGTTTATAAAAATTTCAATTTTGATCGTCCTCATTCTAAAAAGTACATTTGTGATCACAAATTTTTAAACTTTATATTTTATATTTTATTCCTCAAAAGTTAAAAAACTACAATTTATTTTATGCTCACCCATATATTTTTTTTAATTAGCAAAGAGTTGTTTTTTATTCAAATAAACTTTATTTTTCTTACAACAAAGGGGTTCTATGAAAGAATATAAAATGGCTGAAAATCACGAAGGGTAAATAAAAGGATAGAAAATCATTGCATAAATGGTCTATGTTTTGGTTCTTTTTATTTCCCATTAGAATGATATTCAACCTTTTTTTTTTCTTTTATTTCATGTTAGCTGAGAACAAAATGACTTACTTGGCCGCAAAAAAATTTCATCCTTTAATTATTAGAGGTTAAAGTCAGCTCGTCATTTTTGGAAAAAATTGTAGACACCAATTTTGTTCGGGTCTACTATTTTCATTTTAGTATAATAATAATAATAATAATAATAATAATAATAATTATTATTATTATTATTATTATTATTATTAATTATATAAAAAATACAAAAAAACAAGAAAATAAGAAAAAGAAAAAGAAACAGAAAGTAGGGTGGCTGGTGGGGTACGACGTTGTTGCCGCCCTCGACCAGCCCCCTGACCAGCCTCATGTTCAGCCCACCTCAGCCACCTAGATTCCCTTTTGAACTCCTTAAAAACTCCTAACTTCTTCCCCTTCAAGCTCTCTTGGACCCCTTTTTCCGAAAGCTAGAATTCTCGAACATCCCTCACTGAACACCAAAAATATGCACATTCCACCCCTATCAGAAAAACCTCTCAGACACGAAAAAGAAAAAACGCGAACAACCTCCCCAAATACCCAAACAAATTTACGAAAATCAACACAAAAAAACCATAAAACAGAAACCACAGTCCTTGCCGAATCGACGAGGAACCCAGCGCCAAGGAGATACCTACAACAAAAAAGAAAGATTATTAGTTTGAGTTTTTTTTTTTTAAAAAAGGAAAGAACAGAAAATTTTGAACCCCGATCTACATCGATCTGGGCCATTTCCGACGAAAAGAAGATCGGATCTGGAAAGATCGCGTCAAAAGGAGCTTCTAGGAGGATTTCAAAATTTTCGATCATCGACGACCACCACCAACGGTGGCCTAGGCGACGGTCGGCGCAGCAGTCCAACGATCGGATTTCGACGAGGCCAGAGAGACCCAAAGCTCTGAGAAAATTTTTTTTTTGGTGAAAATGGTGAAATGAGCTAAAAAAAAAACCTCACTTTTATAGAAAATATAAAAGCAAAACAACATCGTTTTGAGCATAAGGCTAAAACGATGCCATTTCAAGTGTAAAAGGATCCGCGCGTGGACCGAACCTGACCCGAGATCTGCGCAAATCCACTCGTCGACCCGCCTCAGCCAACCTCCAGCCGGTTCAAATGAACTGCCAGTGAACCGATCTAACCGGTATGAACTGTTCCTCAACCAGTTCAACCAAACCGCGCGTCGAACTAACCCTTTTTCGGTCCAATCGAACCGCCGTTGATCAGTCCGGTTCAGGTAAAAAATTTTTTTTTTGAAAATTTGAATTTTTTATATATTATTATTTTTGTTATTTTAAGTATATTTTTTATATTTATGCATGATAAGTTTTAAATTTGTTAGGATAAGTTTTTTAATTGTTTTAATAATAATAAAATTGAAAACAAGTAATAACTAAAAATATATATTAAAAATGCTCAAAAAAATAATAATAATATTTATTATTTTCCCTCCCTAGATGTTAGAGGGAATAAAAATATTTTTTTAAAAAAATAATTCCGCCTAGATGTTGGAGAATTGTTATTAATAAATTTTCATAAAAAATTAAATATATGAGAAATTTTGATTAATTTTTAAAAATCATTAAAATCGAACTTGTTTCGAAAATTCACCTAGATGTTGGAGATTTTTAGAGATGTTCACATTTTCTTAAAAACGAAACCTTAAACATTAATTCTTAATTTTCAAAATCCTAGGTCTCTAAAATCCCTTAAATCCAAACCCCCAAATTCTGAAACCCTTAAAATCCAAAACCCCCCAAAATTCGCAATCCCAAACCTTTAAACTCTTAAATCCAAACCCCAAAATCCAAAATACCTAAAATCCAAACCCTTAAATTAAAACCCCAAACCTCAAAACCCAAACCCTAAAATCTCCAAACTCTAAAATCAAAACCCTAAACCTTCCATATCCTAAAATTCAAGCTTTAAAACCCTTTAAACCTTAAAACCAAACCTTTAAAACCTCTACTCAAGCCCTTACTCAAAACCTCCTAAAAATCCTAAGGACACGTGTGAAAATTTTATTTGAAGCAATTTGTTCCCGAATGTCGCATAGATGATGGGGTATTTAGGAAATTTTACTTCATTAAGTCTTTTCACATGATTTTCTTAATTCGCATTAATAATAAGATTAATAAATAAAAAGTATAATAATAAATTGGGATCTTAAATATAAACAGTCGTACCTAAGCTCTATCTAGATGTTGGAGAGTCGGGATGGTCTCATTATACTTAAGAATCCAACTTTTAAATTGCATTTCATTTTACATGACATTCATTACCATTCATAAGTTATCGTGTTATCATCAATAATTGTCTGCATTATTCTCTTTTTAATTACTACTTGATGATAAAATATTTTACAATAAAAAAGAATAATACATTTAAAAAATTTTTTTTTGTGATATT